CACAACATGTACAAAAACGTGTTCGAGTTGCTGATATTTGCAAACTACATGGTGTGAGCCAAAATGTGCTCAGCTATCGAAGAGCTTCCCAAAATGCCGAAGTTATCTTCGATTATCCTTTGGAAGAGGTTTCCTTTGAAAAGCATCTGAGGAAGATCTTGAATTCTAAACGTGGATGAGCACTACCCTGCTCATTCTTATTAACTCTCTCTTGACAGTAGAGTTACATGAACTGTATGACAGTATTGGGTTTTTAACATGTACCTAATTTGCACTTCTTTCAAGTTTAGTTTAGCTGTAAATGTGAAAACTCCTCAGGAAAGAGGTTAGTAGTAGGTGTTTTGGATTATGGACATATGAAAGGGTGTTTTGGTTAAGATACTGCTCAGCTTCCTTCTTTTTTTTTTTTCAGGCAACGTAGAAAATTTAGGGGTATATCAGTTATCTGCACTCTTGGAAGATTAAGGAAACGTCCTGATCATTATGATATGCATTTTGGAAATCTTCTTGTATTTGTGTGTAACTGCATAGATATCAATTACAATTTGATTTCAAAGACAAACTTGAAGTACTTCTTTGCTGCCCAAAAGAAGATAAACTCTAATTTTGACATAACATTTTTGGTGGTCACATTCGGTTCAGCTTTTTGGAAACCAAAACGAACTGCAAGATCAAACCAGGGTACGTGCTTTAATTTTTATCATCCATTATTGAGATTTGAAGTAGCTTAGATTTCTTATGTAGGGTAGCTGGAATTTTCACTATGCATAAACATGTGCCTATGAGTAGGGGTGAGGATGGTTCCCGGTTCTAGGATTTTGACTATGTACCACCCTGGAACCAGGAACCATCCACTAAGGATCAATTTTGAAAAATTGAAATCGGTAATGACCTATTCCAATCCGATTCTCGAATTGGTCCATGAAATCTATCCCCAATCTCTACAAGTATTACCTTGGACCTCGTCCACCAACACAAGAAGGGCATGGTCCAAGCAGTTTCAATGGCCACAAATGGGATCAATGTCTTCCATCAAAGATTACTATGAGCCTCTCCCAAGGAACACTAAAAATTGTGAGTTTCATTTGGAATTGATGCAAGACTTATCAGTTTCATTCAGACTGCAATACGGATGGTAAGTGACCATGCCATAGTTTCATTCTACTACTGCGCTTGTTCTTTGCTGAGATTCACTCGACAACTAGGAGATGTATTGATTCCGGCGGAGGTTGACATCAACATGGCTAAAGTAGGTTGGACAATGAGGCATTGTGCAAGAGGCATTATGTGAGAGCATTTATATTGCTTCTGGGCTGGTCCGGTCCGGACAATTTCCAGTTTCTTTGCACACTCCTACCTATGAGGTTCATTTTCTTTATGAGAATAGTAATTTATTGTATGAGCTCTGCCGTGTTTGTGTTGATTTGTAAGTTCATGAAATCAAGAATAAGATTTCATCTTTAGTTTTGGTTCGATTCAAAACATAGTTTGTTTGCAATTGATACAATTGGGGTCAAATCATGGTAAAACAAATTCTTCAGCGAACGATTGAATTGCACAAGACGAAGCCAATGTTCTCCTTCTTTTTCTCCTTCGAAACAAAGCGAGGAACCCTGACAATGCCTCTTTCTTTGTTTTACAGTTGGTTTTGTTTATTTACAAATTGACAAGAGATAATAGCTTGGGAACAGACGATTTATATTATTTGATTGTGGAAATACAAAATCACATGCAGTGTATATTTGATTGGTGTCTTGTAGGCTATGAATGTATGACCCCCAATAGTCTTTTTATACCGTATAGGAAAGAGCAAAATTACAAAGAAAGCCCAAAGGCCCCATATAATCCCAAAATACCATTTACCTTAAACTGGGGAAAAGTGTCAAAAAAGTCCTAAACCTTTTGCATTTTGTGTCAATTTAGTCATAAACATTTTTTTGGTGTCAATTCAGTCATAAATCTTTTGCATTGTGCCAATTGAGTCCTAAACTTTTTTTTTTGTGCCAATTCAGTCCTAAACCTTTTGCATTTGTGTCAATTCAATCCTAAACTTTTTGCATTGGTGTCAATTTAATCCTTCGACACGTGAATAACTATTAGCCGGAAGCACTGAATTGGCACAAATGCAAAATGTTTAGAACTGAATTGGCACAAATGCGAAAGATTTAGCACTGAATTGACACCAATACAAAAGGTTTAGGACTAAATTGGCACAAATGCAAAATGTTTAGAACTGAATTGGCACAAAAAAAAAGGTTTTGGACTAAATTGGCACCAATGCAAAAGGTTTAAGACTTTTTTGACACTTTTCTCTCTTAAACTGGGAGTCCAATATGTTTTTTGGATCATTAAGGAGGAACAATTACTTAAAGTTACCACCCGCCTGAGTGGCGCTGCTGGAGCGCGCACTCTTCCTCTCGCAAAAGGTTGAGTGTTCGAATCCCGGGCGCCGCAGGGTGACTTAACCGATGGCACGTGTGTGGTGGCTAGCACGTGTCGCCCCCAGGGTTTACTCCTCGGCTGTCGGCCGTGCGGGGGTTCCTTAGGTTACCAAAAAAAAAAAAACAATTACTTAAAGTTGCGAACATCAAGTATCAACTAGAACCTAAAATTAGGACTCATTCTTTAGTTTCGTGAGGATTTAAAATACACAATTATTGCGGGCTACCCAACAGTTGACGACGGATAAATTTTAGCACTAATATCATGAAAAATACAAAGCTGCTACACTTGTGACAATTTTACCCTAAACTAACTTTTGACCATCAAACACTCCAAACTAGTACACTTGTGATAAATTGGATTAATACCACGAAAAATCATAAATTGGTAAACCTTTGACAAACGGAGGGGTAAAACCCCAAACTGGTACACCCTTCAACTATTACGTGTCATCCAACTCAGCAATTTGACGGAAAAATTGAATGGAAACTAACGGAGGGTAAATTTATCATAGGTGTACTAGTTTAGGGTTTTTGGTGGTAAAAAAATTAGTTTGGAATAAATTTGTCATATGTGTACTGGTTTGGGGTTTTCCGTGTTATTAACCCTGGTTTTTATTTCGACGGTTGTGAAAGTCTGTCAATTTAACAATTGACCATTTGATCTTACCTTCACTTGCTTGCACCCACTCCAACTACAAAACCCCCCCGACTTCAAACTTTTAGCAGTAGAATTCACAGAAACCCTAGAACTGAAAATCCGTGGCCGAGAGCTTTGCCGACCGCATGATCCAAGGCAAATTCTCTGGCGAACGACCAAACCGTGCAAAAACAAAGCCAACCGCATTCTTCTTCTTCTCATTTGAAACGAAATGAAGTGAGAACCCTGACCATTTTATCCTCACGATTCGCCTAACCCAAAGCCATACTACGCTGCATCTATCCCTCTTGCGCATTGAAGACATTGTTAAGACATGTGTCCTCTCCAAGCGGTGGCGATGCACCTGGCCTATCGCCACCTACCTCCTTTTCTTCGGCGGCTTCGTGCACCAGGATGCTTACGCTTGCTAGCCGATCAAAGCCTTCTGTGCCTTTGTAGACGGGGTCTTGGCCCGTGCACCTCGGTCATGGTCAAGAGGTTTCGAATCACCGGCATCCTCTCAGGAAGCAAATCACCCTATTCATTCCCTCAAGCTCATAAATCCGATGAAGACGGATCATGACATTCGCGGCATGAAAGCATCATGTTTGGAGCAAATCTTACTAAGAGAGTGGAAATTGTTGATTGTGATGTCCGTCATCATGGTTTGCAGCATGTACATTTGTGCTGGAGAAGTTGATCATCGAAGCTAGGATGGATATACCTAGCAGAGAAAAATCATTCCATTTATATAATGACATGGCCGATGGTACTTATTATTTGACGATTGAAATCACTAAGGAAAAAGTCACAAAAAATTTTAAATTATGTTAACTGTGACACGGTTATCTTAAAATTTTTTCTGTGATATCAAAAATTTCAAACTTGTACCTGTGTGACACTTTTACTCTCCGTCGAGGTTTTGTCAATGAGTATCGTTAAAAATTTGCCTATATGGACGTCGAAAAAAAAACTGTATTGACATGGCGTCATGCGGAATAAGTTAAATAAGAATGACATTATTTTGATTGAAAAATCATCTGACGTGTCACATAAGTACCAGTTTGGGGTTTTAAGAAAAAGTTTAGGGTAAATATGTCACAATGGATATAGATTGAGGTTTTTGATGTCACAAAAAAAGGTCAGGGTAAATTGACATAGTGGGCACAGATTGGGATTTTTTGTGGCTGTTTCGCAAATTACTAAACCATGTGATGCGGTCATATCATTCTTCTTGCATAAAGATGATTATCAAAGATTGAAGAGTAATGTGCAGATGGATCCAATTAGTTTTTGATAATGCACTCCTTCAGAACTTCCTCGCCACTTCACTCACGGATCACACCTGCACACAAAAGAAAATTCTTTCGTTTTCTATTTTGACCAAGCCATCCCACGTTCCAGTTTTTAACCAAATTCAGCTCTTTTTGCTGTGAGTCTTCTTGTCCTTTTTTTTTTTTTATCACTTTTGCTTCCCACAACATCAAACAAAAAACAAAACCACCGCTTCAAGCTTCTCTGTTCTATCAACTCTTGGCATCTCTCTGTGTTGAGAACATTGATATGGAATGGACTCCGGAGACGATCGCGGATGAAACACCCTGGGTAAGAAGTCGCCGGGATTGGGTCAGGATCGTCAGAAGACTTCAAAGGCTTGCATCGCTGTTGCTGGACTACACGCCAAAGGAACTTCAAGGGCCGCCAATTCTCGCTTAGGAACTTCACTGGTGCAATAGAGAGACCAGACTTGAAGACTCCCGGCACTGAATTTGTTCGAGTTGAAGTGGCAAGGTTTGGTGCTTCGTCAATGCGGCTGGTTGGCGTCGAGATTTTGGCACCGGGCTCGTCAGGAAGCAGCAGAGTTGATAGAGGTCGCGGAGTTGTTGGTCAGCAAGGAGAATCGGTTAGGGGAAGTCAGGGGAAGTCCTGTTTTAGGGTCCCTTGAGTTGCACAATTGCAGGAGCATCAAGAACATTGTTATAGATTCGACGAGTGTGAAAGAGTTAATACTCGTTAGTGGCTGGTTATCTAACTTTGAGAAAATTTGGGCCCCGCATTTGCTGTCGCTACGGGTACTGGGGGTTTGGCATCTTCGTTCCGTGTTCAGACTTGACGACATATCTTCTTTGGTGGAAGCCGAGTTAGATTTTTCAGTGCCTCGTGACGCGAAAGGCTGCCACTTGTTTAAGGTACTTCTTGAGAAGCTGTGCGGAGTTTCTACAATCACCATTAGCGATTGGTGTTTGCAGGTACCAGCTCAGTATTTTTGCCCTTTCTAAGGTGTACTCTTGTTGAATGGTGTCTGTGATGGGCACCATTTAGTGCTGTATGTTGCCCCGGGTTGAGAGACCTCAGCTCCCTGTGGCATTCTAGTCTTTCGTCTGGGGGAATCATTGTGAGTGGGATGATTCATAACTTTGTGTTTCGAGTTATTATTGCGTAAGAACATAAGGTGAACCTTGGAGCTTCTTCCCTCAATTTAATTTCAAATAAATGGATCTGGGATCACTCAACTAGGGACACCGAATGCCACTAGATATTTCTAATTATCATGGATGCTACTCACCGCAACACTCTTAGATGTTTGATTTGCATAAGATAAATGCATGAAGATATTATTTGAAAAGGTTGCATTTTCCAGGTTGCTAGACCTGGGTCATGCTCTCTCGTCACACTAGGCTGATGTCCCATAATCACCTTATAGAGTATTCTTACAATATTTTAGAATGGCAATGGATGGATTTTCTCGGAACTTGCAGTCGATAACTAGGTTTGCTGTCTCATGTGACCAACTATTAGAATTTTCAGATCCTTCAAGTATCACAAGTTTTATGTAAATAGTCTTGATTCTTAAAGAGATTCACTTGTTCATTTCTACATGTAGGCTCCGTTCGTTTGGCGAAAAATATTCTCCTGGAAAATATTTTTCGGGTTTTCCGGTGTTCGAGGGGCGGAAAACGCTTTCCGTGGGAAAATATTTTCCTTCCCCCTCACAAAATAGTTTGTTTACGGCAAATGACTTCCGCTTCTTCAAAAGCGGAAATCATTTTCCGGAGCTTCTTCTTCTTCTTCTTCACTAAGGTCGCCGGCCGCCGCCGCCGGCCGTCGGGCCGCCCCGCCGCCTCGCCCCGCTGCTGGCCGCGCGCCGCCGCGCCCGCTGGTCGCCGGCCGCCGCTGCCGCTGCCGCCGCTGGTCCGCCGGCCGCCGCCGACGGACGCCGGACGTTGGCCGTCATGCCGGCCGCCGCCGCGCCGCCGGTCGCCGCGCGAAAATATTTTCCGAAACTTTTTTCATATTGGTCGCCGAACACCGGAAAATTATGTTCCGGGAAAACATTTTCCAGGAAAATGACTTCCGGGAAAATATTTTCCAAAAAAAGAATATTTTCCGCCAAACGAACGAAGCCGTAGTATCCTTATTGGTCTTTTCCTGACTGGGAGACTGTGTCAGAGGATATTGTATCTAGATGAACCGTAATTTTGTTATTCTTTATTCATGTTAAACAAGAACAAAAATACTAATTTTCTGTTTTGCTTTCTCAATGTGGTAAGATTCTGTCCTCTTTGGAGATGGAAGGAGTGCCATGTCCATTGTCAAAACATCAGAATTTGATACTACGCGCGCCAGTTAGTCAATGGGAACTTCCCGGGATAGCATGCATGCTACGAAGTTCACGGCGCCTGGAAATATTAGTCATACACCGGACTCGCTCTCGCCCATTGACGGTTAGTTACATTTCTATATTATTTTCAGTTCACTTCTTGTGTTGACTTCCTCGTTGCATGAATGAGTTAAAACTTTAGAAGCACGTAAAGATGATCAATCTGAAACTCTTATTTGTTCCAGCAAATGAAATTTTCCCATGACTAAGGCGTACATGGAATCCATTCTGGAGCAGAAATTCTACTCCAGAATGCATTTCAGAACAGAAATGCGTTTGTTAAAAAATTTTCGAAATGCATTCTGAAGCAATTTTTGCATTTTGGAATAAAAATGCGTTTGTTAAAAATACTTGATTCCAGAATGTATTCTTGATTCCAGAATGAGTTTTGGGCAAGAAAAAGAGAAGCTACTTTTTGTAACTTCTCTATTCCAGAATGCATTCTCCCTCTTTTCTCTCTTTTTCATGGCCATTACAACACATTTTGAGATCTCATTAATTTTTTTTTCAGAAAATGCATAAAAATTGAAAAATTCCAGAAAAATTAATAAAAATTTCCAGAAAAAAAAAAAAGTCAGATTACGGGAAAATAGGAAATTTGGTGAATTTTTTTAAAAAAATATAAAAAAATCAAAAATTTCAAAACTTCACAGAATGGCTTAGAACACATGTAGTCACCCTTGAGTGAAATTTAAATTTTTTTAGGTGTCCAAAAAATAAAAAAATCAAAAATTTCAAAACTTCACGAATGACTTAGAATACCCGCGCCACCCACTTTGAAATGAAATTTAAATTTTTGAGGTGCCCAAAAAAATCAAAAATTTCAAAACTTCACATAATGGATTAAAAATACATGTGGCCACCCATTTTGAGTGAAATTTAATTTTTTTGAGGTGCCCAAAAAAAATCAAAAATTTCAAAACTTCACAAAATGGCTTAAAATACCTTTAGCCACCCACTTTGAGTGAAATTTAAATTTTTTGAGGTGCCCAAAAAAATGAAAAAATAAAAAATTTTAAAACTTCACAGAATGGCTTAGAATACATGTGGCCACCCACTTTGAGTGAAATTTAAATTTTTTTAGGTGAAAAAAAATCGACAAATCAAAACAGATTTCTGTTCCAGAAATCAATTTATGAAGCAGAATTAGTCATGTTTTATCAAACATATTTCTCCTCCAGAAATTAATTTCTGGCAAGAATTCCAGAAATCAATTTCTAGCAAGAATTCCAGAAATCAATTTCTAGCAAGAATTTGATTTTTGGAGCAGAATGGTTACCATTCGCGTCCTAACAAGCCCCGTTTGGTTCAGCATTGGGAATGCTCATTGGCCTCAAATGAGCATTCCCAAAATGCTGAACCAAACGGTTCAACATTTGGAGTTCCAAATGCTAAATGCTAGCATTTGGAAGCAATCAGCATACCGCAAATGCTGACTGTTCCCAAAAAAAAAAAAAGATATCTTCTTTAGCAAAGCGTGGCCGGCGAGCTTGCTCGACCCAGGCGACGGCCGCCTGGGTTACAACCTTAGGCAACGGCCGCCTGGGGTCGCGCGACTCCAGGCGACGACCGCTTGAGGTTGCGGTCGCACGACCTCAGGCAACGGCCGCATGATGTCGTACAACCTCAGGCCTCATCGCCCGAGGTCAGGCGACGGCCGTCGGCGCCAGATCTGGCTTGCTGGCGGCTGTAGCCCTTCACCGGAGCCGGCGAAGGGTACTTTTAAAAGAAAACCTCCCAAAGCCCATTTGTAAAAAAAAAAATAACCAAACACAATTGCATTTCCCCAAGTGGCTTTCAAATGATTTTTTACCACATGCCACTTGCATTTCCCCAAGTGGCTTTCACTTAAAGGTATTTGCATTCTCCCAATAAACATTCTAAATGCCGAACCAAATGGGGCCTTAGTCTACCCGACATTTATCCAAGGCCGTTTTAAGCTATTTTAGTTCATGTTCTAAAGTAACTGCAGTGTTATACTGGAGATTCTTTTGCTCCCATGTAAGGTTAGGATCTTGAACTAATGAATTAGTGATGAGTGCCTTGAAAGAGAAGATGTTTTACTGTGTAGACTAGTTTAAGAGCTCAAATTGATGAAGACTCGATATGAAGTAAAACTGACTATTATTTGAGGTGGACAAATGAAAGTTGTTTGTTTGAAATTTTAGTGAGGCAACGAATTCTTTTTTCCATGGATCCGCATCTAATGTGAAGCTTCTTTCTTAAATGGGGTATCCATATATGTGCAGTTTAAGCTTGACGAGGAATCTATAGAACGTTTTAACGAAGATTTTTGGTCACGGAAGGGGAACTTTCAATGTTTGGCAAAACATCTCAAGAGGGTGGAGATCATTGGTTTTGCTATTAGTTTTGGGTCGAAACATCTGCTCGCCCTAATTAAGTTTCTTCTTGGTGATGCACTTACACTGGAGAAGATGATTATCGAGGCTGATTTCCATGCACAACGTGGACAAAAACATCTTGAAGCCGCTGATCTTTCCAAACTACTTGATGTGAGCCGAAATGTGCACAGCTATTGAAGAGCTTCCCAAAATGCTGAAGTTATCTTCGATTATCCTTTGGAAGAGTTGTCCTTAAAAAAGCATATGAAGGTTGCGCATGACAAAATTTCTGTGCCCGAAAACAGATTCTGCTCAGAAATGATTTTTTTTATTCTGTGCCCAGAAACTGATTCTGAGTATTTGAAGGTGTTTGGTAACGGCCCAAAATTTTCATTCCCGGAATAGAAAAAGAACAGAAATGCTTTTGGTAACTACACAAAATTTCTTTTTATTAATAATATTTTGAATTTTTTAATATTTTTTTCTTTTTTTTCCTTTCTTCCCCTTCCCTTCCTTGGCTGTGGCCGGTCACCGGCACCGGCAACCGGCCATAGGCCAGGGCTGGAAAGGGTGTCACAGCCCTCGCCAGTCGCGACGGCGAGGTCGGCCTCGCCAGATCTGGGCGAAATCGCGACCGGCCTCGCTAGATCTAGGCGAGGCTTTGCCCAGCCAAGGCGAGGCTGACCTCGCCGTTGCGACCCAGGTCCCTCGCCTGGGTCGCAACGGCGAGGTCGGCCTCGCCTTGGCTGGGCGAAGCCTCGCTGTCACGGCCGCGAGCCGCCTAGCGAGGGTCCAACCCTCACCCTTGCTGGCGAGCGGGACCCTCGCCAGCAAGAAGAAGAAGAAAAAGAAAAAGAAAAAGAAAAACAAAGAAAAAAAAACAGATTTTCATTTTGTTCCCAGAATCAAGAAGCTACTTTTTTTTTGCTTTTTGATTCTGTTCCAAAACTGATTCTAGGAACAATTTTTTGCAAAATTGTGCCCAAAATAAAAAATTAAACAAACGGATTTCTATTCCCAAACTGATTCTGGGAACAAAAGAATAAAAATTTTCACTATTTGGCAAGTTGCCATGTGTACCCAAAGAAGATCCAGGTTTCTGAACTTGGATGAGCACTACACTGCTCATTCTAAACAAGTGCTGCGATTTCCCAATTGGTGTGGACTACTATGCCCTTTCTTCCAAGGGATGTGTAATTTTGATAACTTGTCGAAGTTTCCTTTTCGCCTTATAATCATGAATATGAGTATGTGTTGCTTGCTCCGATCGTGGTAGATGAAGTTGAAATGCGATGCTTTGACAGCAAGAATTTCCAATGTGGAGTCGATGCCTTTGTCAGAGGCCAACCCTGCCCTGGCACTTCACATTCATCTAATAGTTTATTTGTATTTTTATAAATTCAATTTCACGTGACATTGTTGGGTGTAAAACTGCAATTTGGGTTGGCATGTTCATTTTTCGATTGGCTTTTGTCTGTGATTTGTAGCCTTTCCTGTTCATTAGGAGTAAAGAAATTCTTCCGGAATGATCTATAAGTTGCTCAAATTGCAGTTGCCAGATTTGTTTTTTCAGTTCTTGCATTTAGTATGACATTGTCGACCTCTGATTGCACTGTAATTTACCTGTGAAACTTAACTGGGGGAAGAGTCCCTGTAATTCCACGTTTTGATCTGGGCATTGAAAATGATGTGAACTTCTATTTGGCTTTTGGGATTGATAACATTTGGTGGTGGCCGCTTCAATTGAGACCCGGCGATTTATGATTTGTGCAGCAATTAGAGATTCTCTTAGAGTATGTTTTTGGTTTCCTTTGCGGGACCACCACGTTTCTTCATTGTGCTGAACTGCATAAGCATGGAAAAAATGGGCTTGCTGTGATGGATGGCTTTTGTATGCAGTTGTTGTCGTTGCCACTTTAAGCTTGTAGTCAGTTTGGTGGTCAAAAGTCTAGAACTTTAGGATTTTCTGTTTGTAATACTCACATCTGCGACTGGGTTTCACCTCTTTCTTACATGTATCAAGTTCTAATTCGCTCTTGTTGTGCTAGTAAACATGTTTGACCTGTCTGAGAGGAAAGCCAATATTATGGAGCACGATTTGAATTTCACATTGTCCAAAACTATATAGAGTCAAAGTAATGACAAGAAATTTTTGCATTGTGTTGCAGCCACTTGGGGGCATTTTGTATGATCGACTGCCATGAGGCGCAGGTTGCCATGGACAAGTTAAGAGAGAAAAGTTCCGGGGATCAAAGAAAGTCGGAGGAGGGCACATGGCAAAATGAGCAAGATGGAGGATGGCTTTTGACTTTGAGATGATGAAACTAGCTATCCCGACTTAGTGCAGCTTCTTGGTTTTTGTGTTATGAGCCTGCACTTTTACATAGGGTGGGATCAAGTTGCAAACTTTATTTGCACCAGCAATGTGTCTTTGGGACTTTTACAGTTCACCGGTCCTTCTAGTATCAACAACGCTATGTTTTGATGTTGAATTGTTGATGGATACAACTATCTTATTTTGGGAGTAAGCAAGTTTTTTGGGAAGCTATTGTCACTGGCATTATACTTATAGAGATATTCGTCAAAAGTTCTTCATACACGGATTTATGGAGCAAGTATTCGGTGAGTGTTGTGCACATCATTTACCATTAGTTATTACATATAAGTTGTAACGAATTGTCTGAATTTGTTTGTCTAGCACCAAAAGCATATATATGTTTGCGCAACAACCCGCCATTGTTCTGATCCAGTGCATGGTTGAAATTTGTCCTCCTCAAAACATCTTGAATTTGAAATTTTATGATTTTATCCGTCTCATTGGATCCCAATTATGGATATAGAGTTGACCCTAATGATGTAAATAAGGGGCCAGTGCTTCACATGATAATACATCTTCTAACATAACACGTTTACGTGATAGAATAACCCTCTTATAGTTATGACCCTTATGATTTTTTTAGCCAGAAAAGGCATGTGATTTTTTATTTATAAATTTGTTCATGCATTTCTTTTACATTGTTTTCACTATTCAAATTGTAAAAAGTTGCGGTCTTTTTTTTTTTCCAATTTTAAACAATTTTAAAATTAAAAAGAGTAAATTGATTGCACTAAAAGACTTTTCAATTGTGTTTCTAGCAAATGGCATTTCTATGAGAGTTGCTTTCCTAGTGTTTTTTTCAATTATAGTTACCAAACAATCTTTGCATTTCATTAAACTCCTTTAGATTAAAGTCATTTGTATTTATTCAAAGGCTTTTCCCAAATGCTGAACCAAACGCGGTCTTATTCACTCTCTTTTGATAGGAAAGTTACATGAACTATATGATAGTATTGGGTTTTTAACACGTGCCTAATTTACACTTCTTTCAATTGTAGTTTACTTGTAAATATGAACCTCCCAAGGAAAGAGGTAAATAGTAATGTTTTGGAAGGGTGTTTTACTTAAGATATTGCTAAGCTTTCTCTTCATTTTCAGGTAAAATAGAAAATTTAGGGATATGTCATTGGGTTAATACCACGAAAAACCCTAAACTGGTATACATGTGACACATTTACCACAAACTATTTTTTTTATCACAAAAAATCCCAAACTGGTACACCTGTGACAATTTTACCCCGAACTATTTTTTTGACCACCAAAAACCACAAACCGATATACCTGTGACAATTTTACCCTGAAATAATTTTTTAATATTATTTTTTATTTTTTCGAATTTTTTAATTTAATTTTTTTTTGAATTTTTTTTTCTTTTATTTTCTTTTTTTTTTCCTTAATCTTCTTCTGGCCGGGCAGGTCAGCCCCGCCGGCCGCTGGCGAGGCCGACCTCGCCATTGCTGGGTGAGGCCGACCTCGCCATTGCTGGGCGAGGCCGACCTGACCAGTTGCCGGCAAGGGGTCATCCTCGCCAACGACGACGAGGCTCGGCCCCGCCAGCAAGTGGCAAGGTCGGCCTTGCCCACCCCTGATGAGGTTCGACCTCGCCAATTGCCAGCAAGGGGTCGTCCTCGCTAGCGCCGGCGAGTTCAAGCCCTCGCGGCGAGGACAACCCCTCGCCGGCAATTGGCGAGGTTGAGCCTCGCCAGGGTCGGGCGAGGCTACCTTCGCCAGTTGCCGCGGGGCCGAGCCTCGATGTCGCTAGCGAGGACAAGCCCTCGCCAACGGCAGGCAAGGCCGACCTCGCCAGTTGCCGACGAGGTCGGCCTCGCTAGCGGCCAGCGGGGCCGACCTAACCGACCCCCACCTCTGGCTGGTCGCCGGGCCGGTGACCGGCCAAAAGAAGATTAAGGGAAAAAAAAAAGAAAAGGAAAGGAAAAAAAGAAAAGAAAAAATAAATAAAAAAATTCGAAAAAATAAAAAATAATATTAAAAAATTAGTTCGGGGTAAAATTATCACAAATGTACCAGTTTGGGATTTTTGGTGGTCAAAAAAATAGTTCGGAGTAAAATTGTCACAAGTGTACCAGTTTGGGGTTTTTTGTGATAAAAAAAATAGTTTAGAGTAAATGTGTCACAGATGTACCAATTTAGGGTTTTTCGTGGTATTAACCTTATATCATTTATCTGCACTCTTGGAAGATTAAGGAAACATCCTGATCGTTATGATATTCACTTTGGAAATCTTCTTGTATTTGTGCGTAGCTGCATAGACATCATTACAATTTGATTTCAAAGACAAACTTGAAGTACTTCTTTGCTACCCAAAAATAGACGAACTCGAATTTTAACATAACCCTTTTTGTGGTCACATTCGATTCAACTTTGTGGAAACCAAAACAAAAGTGCAAGTTCAAACCATGGTACATGCTTTAATTTTTATTATCCATCATTAAGATATGAAATAGCTGGAATTTTTACTATGAATAAATATGTGTATGAGGTTCATTTTCATAATGGACTAGTAATTTATTGTTTGAGCTATGCAATGTTTATGTAAATTTTTAAGTTCATGAAATCAACAACCAAGAATTAACTAGTCATGGAAAACATTTTCCACGAATGAAAACAACACCTTCAAAAGCGAGGAAAAATGTTTTTCGCTTTTTAAAAGCGGAAAACATTTTCCACATCTTCTCTCACCTCACTTTCTTTCACAACATACATTTTACTTTTATTTTTATTTTTCTTTTCGTTTTTTTAAAAAAAATCAAATTTTAATCTTTTTCTTTTTTTTTCTTTTCTTTCTTCCTTTGTCGGTCGCCGGCCACAAGCGAGGCTTGGCCTTGGGCAAGCTCGAGCTTGCCTCGCTAGATCTGGTGAGGCCTCACTTGAGTTTGGCAAGGCGAGAGCTTGTTGGCCTTGCGTAAGCGAGGCCGGCAAGGCTTGCCTGTTGCCGGTTGCCGTGGCTGACGACCGATAGAGGAAGAAATAAAAGAATAAAAAAGAAGAGAAATTAAAAGAAAAGAATATAAAAAATTATTAAAAAGTTCAAAAATAAAAAAATAATTAAAAATTCAATTTTTTAAATAAAAAATTTATTAAAATGAGTACAAAGAGGAAAATCAAATTTTCCATCCCGAACGACGGAAAATTTTTTCCAGTTTATTTTCATATTTCAATCGAACACCAAAAAATATTGTCATTTTCTTAGAAAATGACTTTACGGAAAACATTTTCCAGACACGTCATATTTTTCACGAAATGAACAGAGCCTAAAAGAAAAAAATTTACCGTTAGTTTTGATTTGATTCGAAATATAATTTGCTTTCACTTGAATACAATTGGGTTATCAAGCCGCATATCTCTACCTCAAACACGAGGATCCTAAAGACGTGATACATTTCTACACGTATATAACTTCTTCTTTTTTGTTTCTTATTTCAAAGGTCTTCATAACATAAAGGGAAAACGACACAAGCAATTCATGAACTTTTATTTAATGTGTAATTTGGTCCCTGAACTTTTAATTTATTCAATGCAGTCTCTGAACTTTAGCTTATTGTTCAATTTAGTCCATGAACTTTTAGTGTATGTTCAATTTAGTCCCTCAACTATTTTTTTTTTAGTCCCCGAACTATTTGAAAATATCCAATGTAGTCCTTCCATTAATTCAAGTTCAAAGACTACATTGAACATTTTCATATAATCCAGGGATTAAATTGAACATGTACTAAAAGTCCAGGGACCACACTTAACATATTAAAAGTTCATGGACCAAATTGAACATTAGGCTAAAATTCAGAGACTACATTGAAGAAATTAAAAGTTCGGGGATCAAATTACACATTGGACCAAAGTTCAAGTTCTCTTTGTGTCATTATCCCAAACATAAAACAAACTTATCTACCCATGGTCCACAAAGTCACGGAAAATAGATTCTAAATGGATCCGGTCTTTAGTTGCTTGCTCACACCATTCGAATACATAACCTCCAACTTCAAAATTCCTTTACGCGGCAGAATTCACAGGAACCCTTGAAATGATATCCATGGTCAAAAGCTCTGCCCATGGCTTGATCTGCAGCGAATTCATCGACGAACGAAGCCAATTTTCTCCTTCTTCTTCTCCTCCGAAACGAAGGGAGGAACCCTGCCTTTACTAGATGCCCTAATCCGCGACATCTTTTCCTTCTTGCGCATTGAAGGCATCATCGAGACCCGCCACGTCCTCTCCAAGCAACGGCGATCCACTTGGACCACCGCCACTCACCTCCTTTTCTCTAATACGGCGATTCCACGGCGGAGGCCTCCGTCCACCGCGAATCCTCCGGCGGCGACCGGCGGAATCGCGCCGAACGAAACCGACCTCCTCCTCATTTGCAGCGGCGAAGCAGCAGAAGCCCTAGCGATCTCATCATGGCAGAGACCTCCGTCCGCCGCGAATCCTCCGGCGGCGACCGGCCGAATCGCACCAAACGAAACCGACCTCCCTCTCCTATGAGCCCTAGGGATCTCATCAGCGACTTGCCGGACGCCGTGATCCACCACATCTTCTCCTTCCTGCCCCTGAGAGACGTCGTGAAGACCAGCGTCCTCTCCAAGCGCTGGCAGTCCGCTTGGACCACCACCACCCACCTCGTCTTCGACGGCACCTACTCCTCGGACTTCCCGTCCCTTGTCGACAGCGTCCTGATCCGGTGCAGGTCGCCCGCGGTGAAGAGGTTCCACATCACCCGCTTCAGGTACGACGAGGCCCTCCGCCCCAAGCTCGACCTCTGGCTCCGCTTCGCGGAGGGGTGCGGCGTGGAGGATCTCCGCTTCGCCCAGCGGGAGTTCTTTTATAAGCTGCCGCGGTTCTTGTACTGCTTGAGTCGGTTGGTGTGCCTGGAAGTCAGGGGCTGCTGTTTTTCGTTGGGTACTGCTGTCAGGTGGCCTTGCCTTAAGGTCTTGTCGATAAGATATGCGGAGATGGGTGATGATATCCTGGAGGGAATTGTCAGGGGAAGTCCTGTTTTAGAGTCCCTTGAGTTGCACAATTGCAGGAGCATCAAGAACATTGTTATAGATTCGACAAGTGTGAAAGAGTTAATACTCGTTAATGGCTGGTTATCTAACTTTGAGAAAATTTGGGCCCCGCATTTGCTGTCGCTACGGGTACTGGGGGTTTGGCATCTTCGTTCCGTGTTCAGACTTGACGACGTATCGTCTTTGGTGGAAGCCAAGTTAGATTTTTCTGTGTCTAGTGACAGGATAGGCCGCGACTTGTTTAAGGTTCTTGAGAAGCTGTGCGGAGTTTCTACAATCACCATTGGCGGTTGGTGTTTGCAGGTACCAGCTCAGTATTTTTGCCCTTTATAAGGCGTACTCATGTTGAATGGTGTCCGTGATGGGCACCATTTAGTGCTGTATGTTGCCCCAGGTTGAGAGACCTCAGCTCTCTGTGGCCTTCTAGTCTTTCGTCTGGGGGAATCATTGTGAACTGGATGATTCATAACTTTGTGTTTCGAGTTATTACGTAAGAACATATGGTGAACCTTGGAGCTTCTTCCCTTTGTTTAATTTCAAATAAATGGATCTGGGATCGCTCAATTAGGGAAAACGAATGCCACTAGATATTTCTAATTATTATGGATGCTACTCGCCGCAACATCGTTAGATGCTTGATTTGCACATGATAAATCCTTGAAGAGATTATTTGAAAAGGTTACATTTTCCATTCACTCTTTCGGTTTATAGAAAAAGTACAATCATTTGGAAAAATGAGGAAGAGTAATGGACCTAGTCATCTTAGGTTGCTAGAACCGGGTCATGCTCTCTCGTCGCACTAGGCTGATGTCCCATAATCATCTTACAGAGTATTCTTACAATATTTTAGAATGGCAATGGATGGATTTTCTTGGAAACTTCAGTTGATAATGAGGTTCGCTGTCTCACGTGACCAACTACTAGAATTTTCAGATCTTCCAAGTATCACAAGTTTTATGTAAATAGATTCTTAAAGAGATTCACTTGTTCATTTCTACTTGTAGTTTGCTTATCAGTCTTTTCCCGGTTGGGAGACAGTTTTTAAGGATATTGTATCTGGATGAACCGTAATTTTGTTGTCATTATTCCTGTCAAACAGGAACAGTAATACTAATTAATATTTATATTTTGCTTGCTCAATGTGCTTAGGTTCTGTCCACTTTGGAGATGGAAGGAGTGTCATCTCCATTGTCAAAATGTCAGAATCTGATACTACGCGCGCCAGTTAGTCAATGTGAACTTCCCGGGATAGCATACATGCTACGAAGTTCACAGTGCTTGGAAAAATTAGTCATACACCTGACTCGCTCTTGCCCAGTTCCGGTTTGTTACTTTTCTATATTATTTTCAGTTCGCTTCTTGTGCTGACTTCCTCTTTGCATGAATGAGTTAAAACTTTAGAAGCACATAAAGATGATCAATCTCAAACTCTTATTTGTTCCAGCAATTGAAATTTGCCCATGACTGTCAGTCTACTTGACATTTGTGCAGGGCCGTTTTAAGCTATTTTAGTTCGTGTCCTAAAGTAACTGAAGTGTTATACTAGAGATTCTTTTGCTGCCATGTAAGGTTAGGATCTTGAACTAATGAATTAGCGATGAGCACCTAGAAAGAGAAGATGTTTTACTGTGTAGACGAGTTTAAGAGCTCAAATTGATGAAGACTCGATATAAAGTAAAACTATCATCTGAGGTGGACAAATGAAAGTTGTTTGTTTGAAATTTTAGTGAGGCAACGAATTCTTTTTTCCATGGATCCGCATCTAATGTGAAGTTTCTTTCTTAAATGGGGTATCTATGTGCAGTTTAAGGTCGACGAAGAAATTATAGAACACTTTGATGAAGATCTTTTGTGTTCACGGAAGGGGAACTTTCAATGTTTGGCGAAACATCTCAAGAGGGTGGAGATCATCGATTTTGCTTATGGTTTTGAGTCGAAACATCTGCTTGCCCTGATTAAGTTTCTTCTTGGTGATGCACTCGCTCTGGAGAAGATGATTATCAAGGCTGATTTGCATGCACAACGTGTTAAAAAACGTCTTCGAGTCACTGATCTTTGCGAACTACTTGGTGTTAGCCGAAATGTGCTCAGCTATCGACGAGCTTCCCAAAATGCCGAAGTTATCTTCGATTATCCTTTGGAAGAGGTGTCCTTTGAAAAGCATCAGAAGAAGATCTTGGTTTCTAAACGTGGATGAGCACTACCCTGCTCATTCGTATTAACTCTCTCTTGACAGTAGAGTTACTTGAACTGTATGACAGTATTGGGTTTTTAACATGTACCTAATTTGCACTTCTTTCAAGTTTAGTATAGTTGTAAATATGAAACTTCTCAGGAAAGAGGTTAGTAGTAGGTGTTTTGGCTTATGGACATATGAAAGGACGTTTTGGTTAAGATACTGCTCAGCTTCCCCTTCTTTTTCAGGCTAAGTAGAAAATTTAGGGATATGTCTTTTATCTGCACTCTTGGAAGGTTAAGGAAATGTCCTGATCATTATGATATGCATTTGGGAAATCTTCGCGTATTTGTGCGTAGCTGCATAGAGATCATTATAATATGATTTCAAAGACAAACTTGAAGTACTTCTTTGCTGCCCAAAAGAAGATGAACTCAAATTTTAACATAACCCTTTAAGTGGTCACATTCGGTTCGGCTTTCTGGAAATCAAAACAAAAGATCAATCTGTGGTGCATTTAATTTTTGTTATACATCATTAAGATTTTAAATGATTGGAATTTTCACTGTGAATAAATAAGTGTGTACGAGGTTCATTTTCTTTGTGAGAATAGTAATTTATTGTTTGAGCGATGTCATGTTTGTGGGGATAGTTGTCCCAAATGTTATAAACTTATTATACGGTGGCAAATTCAATCCTAAACATATCGATTGTGTCAATTTAGTCCTAAACCTTTTGACGATTTGTCAATTTAGTCATAAACTTTTTAATTGTGTCAATTTAGTCCTAAACTTTTTGAAGATTTCCAATTTAGTCATAAACCTATTGTTTAGATAATTGGTTGGAATTACTATATTGATAAATCGTTAAAAGGTTTATGACTAAATTGGCAAATTGTCAAAAGATTTAGGACTAAATTGGCACAATCGACTGACCAAAAAAAAAAATTTGGCACAATCGAAAGGTTCGGGACTAAATTGGCAAATTGTCACTATTAAAAGGTTTAAGACTGAATTGGCTGACATACAATAGATTTAGGACTTTTGGACAATTTTCCCCATGTTCACGTGATTTTGTAATTTCACGAAATCAACAACGAAGAGCACTATAAAAGAATCGAAGATTTTACCATAAGTTTCGGTTGGATGCGAAACATAATTTGCTTTCGCTCGAATACAATTAGGGTCAAATCATGGTAATACAGATTTGTTCCATTCGACATCCATTAAGCCGAATCAAGGCGCATTATGTTTGCCCCTACTGTCTAGCTCAAACACGGGGATCCTGAAGGCATGATTACATTTCTACACGGTTTAGGACCTCCTACTTCAAAAGCCCTTTTGGCGGTAGAATTCACAGAAACCGTGGAAATGATATCCATGGCCGAGAGCTCTACCCATGGCTTGATCCAGAGCAAATTCTTTGGCGAACGACCGAATCGCATAGATCGAAGCCAATTTTCTCCTTCTTCTCATCCGAAACGAAGTGACTAACCCCGATAGTTTCATTAGTGCCTTTACCAGACGCCCTAATCCGCGACATCTTCTCCTCCTCGCGCGTTGAAGACATCATCAAAGACCTGCGTCCTCTCCAAGCAGTAGCGATCCACCTGGACCATCACCACTGACCTTCATTTCTCCGGTGGCTTTGTCCGCCAAAACAAACCATGGTAGATGTTACTTCAAAAGTTAATACCATAATACATTTCAAATTGATATACTACAGTACATTTACCTCAAATTAACTGTTTTATTTCACCAAAAATTCCAAACCAGCGCCCCAATTCACATTTACCTAAAATATATTTTCTTTGTTTTCTAGTAGCTTTTGTTTATTTACAAATTGATAAGAGATAATTGCCCGGGAAACCGTGTATGTTATTTGATTGATGACATGCAAAATTCACATGCAATGTATATTTGATTGGTATCTTGTAGGCTATGAATGTATAACCCCAATAGTCTTTTTTATATCGTATAGGAAAGAGCAAAATTGCAAAGAAAGACCAAAGGCCCCAACGATTTTATCCGGGGAAATTACCCCAAAAGTCCTAAACCTTTTGCAATTGTGCCAATTCAATCATAAACTTTTTTTTGGCCAATTCAGTCTTAAACCTTTTGCAATTGTGTCAATTCAGTCCATCCGGCCAATTTTGGCCTGCCGGCGCCAGCCCTCCCGCCGACGCTGACGTTCCAATATTTTAATATTTTTTTCGAATTTTTTTGTCTTCTTTTTCCCCTTTTTTTTCCTTTTCTTCTTCTCCTGGCCGGTCTGGCCAGGGGCTAGGGTCAGCGACACTGGTCGTCGACCCTAGCCTCTGGTTGGTCGTCGGACCGGCCAGCGGAAGAAGAAAAGGAAAAAAAATGAAAAAAAATTTGAAAAAATTTGAAAAAATATTAAAATATTGCCACGTTAGCGTCGACCAGAGGGCCGGCAGGCCAAAATTGGCCGAATGGACTGAATTGACACAATTGCAAAAGGTTTAGGATTGAATTGGCAAAAAAAAAATGTTTAGAACTGAATTGGCATAATTGCAAAAGGTTTAAGGCTGCGTTTGGTTCAGCATTTGAAAGGGGTTTTTGGCCTCGAAAGTCCCTTGGCCAAATGCTGAACCGTTTGGTTTAGCATTTGGATCAACATTTGCCAAATGCTAGCATTTGGAATACCGAACCCAAATTTTTTGCCCCCAAATTACTCTCACTTATTTTGGCTTATTCCGATTTTGCCCCTCATGTTACTATTCATCTTCTTCGTGAGGCGGCCAGCGAGGGCGGTCGACATTGAATCGGGCCGGCGAGAGGCCGGCAAGGTCGCACGACCCAGGCGACGGTCATCTGAGGTCGCACGACCGCCCAGGCGCCGCCGGCCTACGTTGCGCGACCACTGTCGGCCGTCACTTGGGTCGTCTGAGGTTGCGTGACTGCCCAGGAGCTGTCGGCCTGAGTCACACAACCATAGGCAGCCATCGCTTGGGTTGCGCGACCTCAAGAGGCCGTCGCCTGGGTCGCGTGACTCAGGCGGCCGTCACTTGGGTCATGCGACCTCAAGCGGTCGGCGCCTGGGTCCTGCGACCCTCGCCGAGGGTCACCCGGCCTCGGGCAACGGCCGCCGACGCCAGATCTGGCTTGCCGGCGGTCCCCCAACCTCGGGCGATGGCCGCCGGTGTCAGATCTAGCTCGCCGGCGGCCGGCTCCGACGAAGGGTAAATTATTTTTTTTTTAATAAAAAATATAATTCCCAAAACCCTTTTGCAAAAAAAATTTACCAAACACTACTTGGCCCAAAGTAGCTTTACAAAGAATTTTTTACCAAACGCCATTTGCATTTCCTCATGGGGCTTTGGTCCTGTTTGGTTCAGCATTCCCAATGCTCATTTGACCTCTAAAGTCCCTTGGCCAAATGCAAATGGCGTTTGACAATTTTTTTTACTCACTTTGGGGAAATGCAATTGCATTTGGAATGCTCCCCAAGGGACCTTTGGCCAATGCACCTCTGAAGGTGCTTTAGGAAGTTGCATTTTCGGAATGCAACTTGTACTATTCATCGACACCGTTCATCTTCCCTAAACCGAGGTCCGGCGGCCGCCGCCCGAGGGCTAGCCCGACTCCGGCGACCACCGCCCGGGTCGCGCGACCCGCGACCGCCGCCTAGGGTCGCCGAACCTCGGCGCCGCCCTGGGTCGCCGGGACCTCGGCGATTGCCTGGGTCGCGCGACCTGTGCGACCGCCCGAGGTCCGCGACCCCAGCGCGGTCGTCGTGGTTGCCGGAGGGTCGCGCGACCCCGTGCGGTGGCGCCGGCGACGATCTCGCCCGTCTGGCGGCTGGCCTACGACTAGATCTGGCCAGGCGGTGGCCGACGGTGTAGATCCACCGGAGCTTTTTTTTTAAAAAAAAAAAAATAGCAAAAGTCCTTTAGCCCAAGTTGATTTTATAAAACATTTACCAAACGCTACTTGCATTTCGAAAAACCCCTTTAGCCCAAAGGTATTTGCATTCCCCCAAATGCATTCCTCCAAAGTCGAACCAAACGGGCCCTTTAACCTGAAGGCATTCCCCAAGTAGCATTTTCAAAGTTGAACCAAACGCACCCTAAGACTTTTTGGGTAATTTCCCCATTTTATCCTCATGATGTCATCAGCAGGTAAGCCATAATCCGGCACATCTATCCCCCTTCCGCATTGAAGATATTGTTAAGACCCGCGTCCTCTCCAAACGGTGACGATCCGCTGGACCACCGCCACCTACCTCCTTTTCTTAGGCGGCTTCGTGCGCCAGGATGCTTGCACTTGCTAGATGATCAAAGCCTTCTCTGCCTTGGTAGACGGATTTCTGGCTCATGCGCCTCAGCCACGGTGAAGAGGTTCTCGATCAACGGCATCCTCTATCAGGAAGCAAATCACCCTATCCATTCCCTCAAGCTCATAACTCCAATGAAGACGAATAATGAGATTCACAACACGGGAGCATCATGTTTGTAGCATATCTTACTAAGAGAGTTGAAATTGTTGATTTGCGAAGTCCGTCATCTTGCTTTGAAGCAGGTACACTTGTGCTAGAGAAGATGATCATCAAAGCTAGGATGGATGTCGCGACCTAACCTCCCGTGAAGAAGTGCACGGGATGATTATGTCAGATGTATCGTCCAGAGAGCACACTTGTGCATGTGATGGCATTTCGCATGCATCCTAATTTGGGCTTGCGATGAGAGACTTTCGGATTTGTGGCTCACGATGCAAGGCCTGGTGATTGGCCGAGGAAGGGCTGCTCGGCGGTAGAGCTCGAGACACGGGGATCAACTTCTCGGTGGCTGCTCGAGGATGAGTCTCGACCGAGTGCGTCGCAGTACTCGCGTTCTCCTCGTTTGTGAATGATCCAAAGTGCACTCCTTCAGAACTTCCTCGCCACTTCACTCACGGATCACCCCTGCGCACAAAAGAAAATTCTTTCGTTTTCTATTTTGACCAAACCATCCCACGTTCCAGTTTTAAACCAAATTCGGCTCTTTTTGCTGTGAGTCTTGTTGTCCTTCTTTATCACTTTTGCTTCCCACAACAGCAAACAAAAAACAAAACCACCGCTTCAAGCTTCTCTGTTCTATCAACTCCTGGCGTCTCTCTGTGTCGAGAACATTGATATGGAATGGACTCTGGAGACAATCGCGGATGAAACACCCCAGGTAAGAAGTCGCCGGGATTGGGTCAGGATCGTCAGAAGACTCCAAAGGCTTGCATGGACTGGTGCCTGGGTGT